AACCCTAAACCCTAAACCCTAAACCCTAAACCCTAAACCCTAAACCCTAAACCCTAAACCCTAAACCCTAAACCCTAAACCCTAAACCCTAAACCCTAAACCCTAAACCCTAACATACCACTCCAGCCCGCTCGCACCTTGAAAATGACAATCACGAAGTTAAGATAGATGAAATATTGCTTAAAATATTGTCACTGATTTGCGAGCCAGAGCCATCTTCGCGAAGGGATATATCCGCGAGGGCTTATATAGATCACATGTTCGCTATCAGCGGTCAAATCTTGGATGAGAGGCAGATAAGATATATATATATATCTCCCAGATATTGTAGGAATTACTGTCCTTACATCAAGACAGAAAATGATTATTCCGTGTCTAGTGCTTGATCACACCGAGCTGCAAGCCCCGCAAATAATAAGATACTGATAAAGATAATATTATTGCAACTAGCTAGATAATAAGAAGTCATGGATAAGATTATCTAGATAGGCTACTAGCAATCGTAAGAGGCAACTGCCCGTTATTCGATCCGCCTCATCTTCACCGCCCTCGGCAGCACCTGCTCGAAGGACTTGTCACGGACTGACTCATGGCCTTTGTCTCGGTGTCTGGTGGCGGGAACTCCCGGCGGCTGTGGCTGCGAGGGGGTTCAGTCCGCATGTTATATTACAATGGCCTTCTCGCTGATTCATGCGTCTTTTGCAGACAGCCTGTCCAGGGCACCAAGGTACAAGACCATGGCCCTCCCTGACCGTCCGTCCTGTTGAGATATATCACATGTGTAATGCGGTATCGAATGGAAGGCGTTCTAGACTGTCCCGCCATGTGGGTGGGGAACTGGTCATGACGTCTACGATCCAGCGAACCCCAGATGGAGCATGCCGGCCATGGCTTGTCCGTGGCCCCGGCTCCACTCACACGAGGTGATAAACCCTAAAAGAAATCAGCTCCCCCTCCCCTCCCCTCCCTCATAATCCCTGTCTGGTCCTACGGATTCACATAGTGGGCTACATAGGCAGACAGTCGCTGATCGCCAGTCTTCGCAGAAAACATCCTCAAATCCATCGCAGTCGGGCAGCGGCACCATTGTTGCGACGGATACATCACCAAACGCATCCCCGCGCATGACATCCCCCACCGGCCGAGGGTTTGGAAGCATCCAAGCATCCAAGCATCCATCATCCGGAAGCCAATCAGGATCCGCTCGGGTCGCAGACGAAACCGGTTCCCCGTCGCGATGGCTCCGTTGCGACCTCCCACCCCGACGACCTGCCCACGGTCTCGGGGCGGGTTTCCATGGTTGGGGGGTCGGGGGGCGAGAGGTGGCGCGCCTCTCCCCCCCGTCATCGGGCCTGGTGGTATATTACTCCCGGGGCAGGGAACCAGACGACACCAGGAGAGAACCTCGTCCAACCCATCGGGGAAAGTACACAGCCTCTGCCGGACCGCCATTCATATTCATGCCGCTGGACAGAAGTGTCGGCGTCCGCTCCGTCGCTGCGACTTTCCTGTCGTTGGCGACGCTGACGGTGCTCCTCCGCTGCTACACCCGACTGCGCGTGGTCCGCGCGTTTGGGTGGGATGACGGGTTAATGGTCATGGCAATGGTCAGTGGAGTGGATGCATGGCAATTCGATTACTGACAGGGTGCTAGGCCCTCTATGCCATGTTCTGCGGCTGCATGATCGGGGGGAGCCTCTACGGCACGGGCAAGCGCTTCGCCGAGTTGACGCCCAACCACCGCGTCACGGCCATGGAGGTAAGTCTGCCTGCCCATCGGTCCCCAGGGGGGCCCCCCGCGGCAGTGCTCACGATATCCTAGTACTGGTGGCTGTGCGAAGTGGCCTACTGCGGTTCCTCCATCCTGTGCAAATGCTCCATCTGCGTCTTCCTCACGCGCATCACCGTCAAGCGGCGCCACCTGATCGGGATCTACGCGGTCATGGCCTGCACGGTGGTGGTCGGCCTCACCTTCATGTTCCTCCTCCTCTTCCAATGCCAGCCGGTCGCCTATTTCTGGACACGCGCGTCCTTCGACGGCACTGTCGCGGGGCGGTGCCTCAACATCGAGGTGATCATCGCCATGACCTACACGTACAGCGCCGTGGCCGCCGTGTGCGACCTGGCGGTGGGCGTGCTGCCGGTGGTCATCGTGCGCAAGCTGCAGATGCCGTGGCGGCGGAAGGTGGCGGCGGTCGGCCTCTGTAGCATTGCATGCATGTAGGTTCTCTCATGCCCCCTTCCTGGAAGTCCCATCCAACCCGCCGTGCGCTGACTTGAGGGGATCCATCCAGTGCGAGTTCGGCCGTCATTGTGCGGATGCCGTTCGTTCACACGTTTGCCGACTATGACTTCCTCTGTGTGTGCCGCCCCCGTTCCCTTCCTCTCGACGTGGCACTGACTCTTCCCGCCCGGCAGATAATACCTACGAGATCGCCGTGTGGTCCAATGTGGAGGTGGGGGTGGGCATCGTGGCCGGCAGCCTGGCGACGCTGCATCCGTTGCTCAAGCACCTCCGCAGCAGCGCCTGCGGTGCCGGTCGGCATCGCCTGGGCAGCGTCAGCACCAAGGGCTCGTCGCACCCGGCCTCGCGCAAGGAGGAGTTCATCTCCGTCTCGTCCTACCCGTCCGGGTCGGTGGTGCTCTTCCGCCCGGGGAATGTGCTGAACATCACCACCACCGTCCAACGCGACGAGTCGGGGCTCGAGTCCGGGCGGCCCTCCACCACCGGGGACGCCCCGGAGACGGACCCGTCGGACAACAGCATCTTCGTCCACCAGACCTTCAACCTGAACACCTGCTGACCCCTACGGGGGGGGGGGGGGTTCCTGGCAGTTCGGCATGAGGTCTTGACAGACCAAAAAGACCAGTCGGCTACAAAGGTGTCCAGACAGCTGAATGATACTGGGTTTAACAGGTCTCGATGATGGTGATGGATGGTGGGGTGGGGAGAGCAGTTCAAGGATCTAAAAGTAGGGTTCAGGAGGATGTACAACAAAGCAGGGCAGAATATAAAATACTCCAGACTGTCGGCGTCATCGATGCGCTGTCCTATTTGTGCACCGCATACCTGACTCATCGGCATAGCCCAGTTGTGCATTGGCATCATCGTCACATGGCTACCACATTAGGCTGGCCACCAGGTACACAATACGGGGTATGTCGCATGGCTATTGGGTCGGGTGGGGGGTTTCGCTCTTCGCGTTTCGATGGGACGCCTCCCCATCCGATGGCATTTGACGTGGTCAACCTATCCAGTCCGTCAGCCGCTGACCGGGCGGACCGGACTTAGCCTTACCGCCGCGGTCATCCAGCCATATAAGTATCAGCGGGGGACGGTGGGATGCACTGCAGCAGCCATCGATATCTTTGCAACCCACACACCACCACTCCCCACCACTCCCCACCATGCGGCTGATTCTCACCGGAGCCACCGGTCTGGTCGGGTCGTCCGCCCTCAACCAGCTCCTCGCCCTTCCCGCCGACCAACTCTCCCGCCTCTATATTTTGAGTCGCAAGCCCGTGCCCTGGGCCGACCACCACCCCAACGTCACGGTCATCGACCACCAGGACTTCACGACCTATAGTCCGCAGTTGCTCGACACCCTGAAAGGGGCCACTGGCTGCATCTGGGCCCTCGGGGTGTCCCAGACGGAAGTCAACAAGGAGTGAGGATGTCCCGCTCCGCCTGCGGGGCCCCGATGACAGGCTGACCAAGGCACGCAGGGACTATGTCAAGATCACCGTGGACTACCCGCTAGCGGCAGCCAAGGCCTTCGCGACCTTGGCTGACTCCTTCAACTTTGTTTATGTCTCCGGAGAAGGGGTATGTGTATTCCGTACCGATATGGATCCAAGGGGGGGGCAACATGGCAAGCTGACCCGTGAGCCACAGGCGACCCAGACCCCCGGTCTGTTGACCCCGTTCTTTGGCCGGGTCAAGGGGGAGTGCGAGCAGGCCCTCCTCGAGCTGGCACGGGAGCACCCCAGCCTGCAGCCCTACTCGGTCCGGCCGGCCATGGTGGATTCCATCACCGACCCCCGGGTCCGCGAGGCGCTGCTGCAGCGACCGGCGGAGCGCACAGTGGCCCGACGGGTGTTCCGCGGGGTGGTCGAGCGGGCGATCCGGGGGGTGTATGCGCCCGCCGTGTCGCCCACCCCGGAGCTGGGCCGGTTCCTGGCCCGCCTGGCCATGGGCGACGGGGCCCCCCTGGACGGCCACGGCCTCAGCGGGGCCGGACGCATCATTTCCAACGTCGCCTTTCGACGGGAGGTGGGTCTGTGAACGCCTATTGCATCATTATACACCACCCGGGGTGGCGTCCCGGCGTTGTGTACCATATAAGTAGTAACTGCATGACCAGCATCAGGCTGGCTTTCGGGATGAATGGGACTAGGGAATCCTTTGTAGTACAAAATGGCCCAATGTTATATATATATTTATGGAAGCGTGATACTATGTAGCCATTCCAGACCCATAGACCACTCATGAAGTCAGTCGGATTCACTGGTCTGTGACACGTCATAAGGGCGGGGTCGAGCGTTGATCGCCTCGGGCCCTGCCTGGGCTTGCCCTGACCACCCCCCTCATCACCTCTCCCCCCTTCTCTCCGTCTCACTTCTCTGTCGAAGCACATAGTAGGCCGCTGGCGGAAGTTACCGCGAGGTTGTGGCCAGTTGTGGCCAGTTGTGGCTAGTTGTGACCAGTTGCATAACAGTTCCTAATAGTTGCTGACTAAAATAAATAGTAAGCATCCCTATTATACTGTATATAATAGTTATTACACTATTTTGAAACTATATTTAAGAAAACAACAAGAAAGTAACTGTTTGAAGCTTATTTTATAATTATTTATTATTATTAAAAGCTTATTACTTTTCTATTTCTAATCTATCTACAAATAATTATATTACTATTTCTTTTTTTTTATAGTAAGTAAGTTCTCCACAGGTTATTCACTGAATCACTGTTACCTTACTGTCAATTCACTGTCAATTTACTATCAATTCACTGTTACTTCACTCTCTTCTTATATATATTACATCTTTCTCTCTTCTCATTCTCTCACTCTTTCTCTTCTCTACATCACTCTCTTAAGTTGTTTCTGTCACTTCCTCCCTCCCTCTCTCTCAATCTTTTACTATCTCTCTCCTTTACACTTCTTCTTCACAACTAGACCGTCATGGAGAAGGCTACCAGCATCAAAATGGCAGAAACGCCCGAAACGCCCGAAGAAACAGTCATCCATTGGTCGAGAGGTGAGCTGAAATGCTTTTGCAGACGACGCAAGGAGACAGTACTAATATGGAAGAAATAGGTAACAAACACAGCTTAGAACCCTCCTCTGCAAGCAACAATACAGCAGAGGTGACAGCGGCACAGGAGCTGGCCAAGAAAGGCAAAAGGGGACTGCTGGAGTTACTGAAACTCAATTCCGAAGACGACTGGAGGGAGTGGTTAGTGTCAGACTTAGTCAAACCGTACTGGCTAGAACTTTGGGACTATCTGGCGAAAAACCCGACTGCTAAGCAGAAGCGCGGAGCCGGGCTGGCCCGGATCCAGGAGCTAATAATTAAAGGAGAAGCACGGGGCGTCGCGAAATACAGCCGTCGCCATGTCGAGAAAACCGGATGGGATCTTAACGAACACCTCGCATACTTCGTCCATAATGTGAGATCGGAAAACACGCACAGACGGGGGGGAGTGTTCTTTCAGAAGAACCTCCCTGAGAACATCATGGACACGGCAATATGGACTTTGAAGAACATTCTCATACAGATGCATAGCCCGTCGCAAATAAATAAGCCAAGTGGCGGAAAGGCGATTTTCGGGGAGACCCTGCCAGGTAAGAATTCGGGAGCATTCTGGAAAAGGCTTTCACAGCTGACTCCAGTGATCAAAAAAAATGATAGAGTACAAATCCATCAAAGTGCACAACACTAGGGCGCAGCAAGCGGCCAAGGCAGGGGCTGATTCCGCAGCTAAGAGCAAGGCGGACCCGAAGGAGGTACAAGAACCAGAGTCAGATGGAGAATCATCGCTGTCATCACTTGCAGACACAACCGAAGATGAGTTCCCGGGTCCGTTGGGGGCACAGCAACCACGGACCCAAGTCTGGGAGCACGAGCCGTTGAGTGACCGACAAAGGCTGATCCTCAAACGGCAGTCGGAGACCTTTGATCTTAAAGATCCGTTTTGGGCCTATGCTCGCATAGAAGCCGCCCTGCAGTTATCAGGCCCTCAAACCATAGCACAGGCAGAGGAGATGGTCGCGACTGCTGAGAGTGCTGAAAGTGTGGAAACTGATGATGTCAGTGATACCACACCAAGAAAACCCAAGCGCGTCAAGAAAGCAGTGGATATGAGGAAAATGCTGGACAACCGCGTTTTCGAGTCAAGCGCATACCAGACCGCAGAGAATCTCCAGTGGTCGTTTGATACCAGTACAGATGCAAATGATCTGCTCATCCAACCAACATTGGAGGATTATGAGAGGATCTCGATGCATGAAAAGTGGCTAGACGCCCAGGAGTACCAATTCGATAATCACGAGGAGGCCTGCAGGAACCTGGGTATTGTTGATAAGGCGAACCCCCGAATAAAGGGCATGCAGCGCGGGCAAGAGCTGAAATTTTGGCAGCCGGTCTGCATCAATCGTGTGGCTGAAATCATGAGACTCGATTTGCTGCGTGGCGCCATCATTGCTGATGTTGTCGGCGTTGGTAAGACTTGGGAGGCCGTTGCATTCCTCTTGCATGTGAGTATTCTTCCAGAGATCGGCAGAAGGCTTTTGCAGCTGACACAATATAGCAACTAAACAAATTTAAGCACAAACATGCTGCAGCTGAGCAAGACAAGACAGAGCCTCCAGAGGGCCGTCCTGTGATTATTATTGTCCCACCCCATCTCATCGACCAGTGGATGGACGAGATAATGTCGATAACTGAGGAATTTCAGGTGTTGCTCTACTATGGTGATGCCCGCCGCCAGGTGGGAAGCTATATCAAAGACAAGCTGACAAAAAAGCACGAGATCTTCAAAGGCGGGCTCGAGAGTGCACGTACTATTGTGGTAACCTCATACCAGACATGGGAGGCACGCCATGGCCCCAAGCAGTAAAAGCTTGGTGTGGCAGCAAGAAAAAGCCATATAACCCCGCCAATCCGCACATGCCCCCAGACTTCCCTGGCAATCTAAATGGACGCTTTGGAGTTGCTGTGTTTGATGAAGCGCATATGCTTCGGAACAGGGAATCGGGTATCTCGTTTGCTTGCACATGGCTACGTGCCGGGTTCCGCATCCTGTTAACCGCCACACCCTTCTATAATGATGTACGCGATTTTCTGGGATACATCGGACTTCTCTTGCGCTCGAATCCCGCTGCAAAGGCAACGTTCACCAGCAGCCGTGTACGCCAGATTGTCGAGGCCCCTCCCGGGACAGAGGACGAGCGGTTGCTCTGCAGCCAGGAGTTTGTCACCAAGCACATCCTTAGTAAGGAGGTACAGGACACGAATACCATTTCTTATCGCTTGAGAAAGATACTGCAGCGACTTATGATCCGCGAACGCAGGGCTCTGCCTACCGATTGGGTCACCAATAAGATCGGAGCTGATATTCCCCCCGCCTTTAAGAAAGTGCTAACCCGAGTTTCGAGCCGGAAGAGTTTGCGGCGTACCAGGCCTATGAAGCCGTGAATCGGCGAAACATCTTCATCATGGACAGGGAGAAACCGAGTCACGCACACTGGCACATGGGCCGGCTCCGCAAGTTGATTATGGGATCATCGTGGTTGGGCTTTATCAATGTGGAAAGCAGCCTGCCCGCTTCTGCTGTCGTGGAGTCCCTCGGCGCGGTCAGGCGGCACGAGTGGATAGCCTGTGTGCGCCCGAGCCTGGAGGCAAAGACTTTGGTGGAGAAGAATACTGTAAAAGGCTTTTACACACGAACCAGGGAGCATCATCATACCAAGATCTCACTCAGCAATAGCGATGGGGATGCAATACAACTTGACACGGAGGCCTTGAATGGCTGCTGCGGGCGCCCCAAGATGCGAGCCATGTTACCGATCATTCGAACCAGGTGTTTCTGAAGCAGGAGAAATCCCTCGTCTGGAACATATTTTCCCGGTGAGGAGGTGTATATTTCCGTTCTGACAGAGGCCGGTGTCGATCAT